ACAAACGTAGCTGAGGCTGAGGCAGGAGAATTGCTTGAAACCAGGAGGCGGAGGTTGCAGTGAGCCGAGATCATGCCATTGCACTCCAACCTGGGCAACAGAGCAAGACTCTCTCAAAAAAAAAAAATTTTCAAACATACAGGAAAGTTGAAAAAGTGGTAGAATGAACATCTTTATATTCTCTCCCCAATGTTTGTTATTGTTATCTTCACCATAACTGATTTATTTATCTCGGTGCTTCTGTGGTTGTTCTGGTGTCTTTGTGGAATCACTCAAAAGCCAGCTGCAGACATGGTGGCACTTACCTGCACTGAGGGTGGCATTGATCTCCTGAAAATCATTGAAATTATTAGGTCCCTTATCGTGCCTAATAAAAATGGCAGCCCTTTTTCTAATATTATCTTACATCCAGTCCATTTTCAGGTTTTCCTAATTGTTCTCCATACGCCCTTGTTAGGTGTGGGTTTTTTTGTTTTTGTTTTTGTTTTTTGTTGTTTTTTTTGAACCAGGATATAACTGAGGTTGTGTGTTACATTTAGCTATTGTATATCTTTAGTTTCTTTCAATCCAGAATAGTCCCCCACATCTTTTTCTTTTCTTCTCCATGACGTTGACTTTTTAAAGATCAGGCCAGTGGTCTCAGAATATCCCTCATCCTCGATTTATGTGATTTTTTTTTCTCATGATGTTGTTTAATTTGATCCTCTACCCTGTATTTTTTCTAAAATCGAAGTTAAGTCTAAAGACTTAATTAAGTTTAGATTAAATTTGGGGCAAGAGTAATGTGCAGGCTGCTTGGGTCTCCAGATAGTCGCAGTATCCGAGAGGGGTAAGGTTGATGCAAACTAACAATTCCAAGCATGATGTTTCGGACAAACGAATGACTGTTACTATCTAATAACTCGTAAGAGGTTAATCAAGAGTAGAAAAGCTAGCCAAATAATTTTTCATAAGAGAGCAAGCAAAGCAAGACCAGTAGGCTCCCCTTCTTTGTGGCTTGGATCTGAGTGTGGCAGGTTCATGCGCTCTGCTATTCCTTGCTTTCCCACACCTTTTCCTCCAGCTGTACTCTTTGTGTCTGTGCTTAATCATTGTGGGCTTAATCATAGTTTAGAAAAGCTGAAACTGTCTTTCTTTTTTCTTTTCACTTACTCATTTTGGAGTAATTGAAGCATAATCATGATTATGGTTTTGTAATATTTTTCTTATACCAAGGCTGCTCAGTATGTTGGGAAATGGTTCCGCCTTCCTGCCTTGTTCAGGGCCCTGCTTGTATGGCTCATCCGGCCACCTGTACAGTGAGCAGCTGCTCCATGCGGGTCAGGGCACTTGAAGAGACTGCATGGCTCTATGACTTGGGTGTGCATCAGATTCACGACACGGGGAGCTTGTAAAGCTTACGTGTGTCTTGAGTCCCATTCCAGACCTGTGGAATCAGCATTGGTGGTTTCAGAACCTTTGGTAGAGAGCAAAGAACATGGGCACTGGGCTCAAGAAAGACCCTATTCAGGCTTAATAGTGGTGGAAATTCCCCAACCTCAGCATTCTCACCTGCTTTACAGGGCTGTTGGAGACTGCCTCTACTGGTAAATGTGAAAAAGTCTTTTATTCCCTATCAGTGCCCTCTAAATACGTGGAGAACTGTTGGGGTCATCTGTAAATATCTTTGGTGCCTTGTATAGTAAACTCAAATGCCCCATACTTTCATTTTAGGTTCTATATAGGGCAGGAGCACCCCTGCCAGTCCCCTTTGGCACAGTTCTGTGTGCACAGCCTGTCTCCTCTGAGCTGTTCAAGGCAGTGACTGATGCCATATGTTTTTGTGCAGCGCTTCCCAACATGTTTGGCGAAGACCGGGATTTTGGTTTTTTGTTTTGTTTTCGAAATTTCTAATCCACTGTACCTTGATACGTCTGTAAAATACAATACAAATGAATTACTAGGAATATGATCACACGTTTGGATGTCACTGCAGTGTTGAACTGCAGGTTTCTAAATGCTTCTTTTCAATTTCTGCGCTTATTTCCTGGCCTGGTGACAGTTTGCAGTCTGGCTCTGGGGACACAGTTTGAGCAGCTGTAGAGCACTGTGTTTGTGTCGTGAACTTCAGTGAGTCCTTTAGTCCCCAGAGCACATGCAGATGAGTACTGATTCATGCATGTTTCTGGGGAGGGCACTACTTTGTCAAATTCTCTTTTATTGTATTATTACAGTGTACAGTACACTGCATACTAGACACTGTAGTGTACTGGTTCATATTGGAAATGTGTTCTTTTGACTCTAGGTGGTATCTTTTCCTTCCTTTAAAAATGCATAGTTTTATTGTGGAAACAATAATAAACAACACTAAAATAAATTTAAAGGAAAAAAGTCCTCAATGCCACAAACTCTTTACACGTACTATTACATACTATTACTGTCTTCATGAGTGAAACCATATTAATCCTGTGTTCATATGTTTTAAGTTGTCCTCACACTGTACTTATGGTTACCTTTTGCTTTTTAGTTTGACATTGTATTAAACACATCTTTCACTTTGCCATGTGGTATTTATACTGACTTTTTAAAAATGGTTTCTTATTTGATCATGCAAGAGGTCTTTTAGTTTTATCTTAGTTGATGAAATGTCAGAGTCCCGTGTTATGGAGCTTTGGAATTGGTCGACTGTCAGTGGCTCTACTTATTAGCTATGTGGTGGCCCTGAGCAAGGGAGGTAACTTGCTGATAATGTGACTTGCCTGCCACGGTGCTCATGCTCTTCTCTTCTTCTGCCTTGATCATCTTAATTTCTGCTGAACTAAGACTTGCTTTCACCGGTTTATTTTTCTGTTTGTACTTGTTAGAAGCTGCTCATACTCTTTGGGCTCTATGATGTTCTTTTTCTCATTCATAATTACTTTCAGCCCTGACCCTCCTCACTTGAGTTTCGTAGTAGACCTACTTATATCATTAGCCATATGTGGCTATGTGAGATCCTCCCCCGTTTTAGAAAACAATCTAGCTGTGTGCAGTCTGAATTTTTTGTGTAATTACATTAGAGCACTTTCTGTGGTTTGTTGGTAGGTGTTGTTGTATTTCATTGTGGAATGTTCATTGTTGAGTGTTCAGGGTTGAGCCAGTGGAGAAGGCTTAGGAGAGGTCTTTAGTAGGAACCTTCCTTGTGGTAGTAAAGATGGGGCTTCTATCCCCAGAACTTCTTTAATTATGTCTGAAGGCTCCTGGAGATCTTTCGGCAGAGCTGTTAGTGGAGACCTAGGAAGCACAATCAGTAGAGGCCGTTTCCATCCATCATGACCTCAGTGAACATTGTTTGGAAGGCCAGAAAAAGTGCTAAGATGAAAGATTCTGCAGGGGTTACAAGCTATGCAAAACAGCTCCGATTTTGTTTTGGTTTAATGTAGACATTATTCTTGCTTTTTTAGACTTCGTTAGGTGCTTTTAGATGTTTTTACAGGGGGTGTGTGTGTGTGTCTATGAGTTTTGTGTGCATATATTTTTGGTGACCTGTTGGTCCCAGTTCAGGTCTAGCTCACACTTTTGAGTTGTGGGCAAGACGTGGTAAGATAGTATTGAGGCCGGGTGCGGTGGCTCACACCTGTAATCCCAGCACCTTGGGAGGCCGAGGCAGGCGGATCATGAGGTCAGGAGATCAAGACCATCCTGGCTAACATGGCGAAACCCCCTCTCCACTAAAAATACAAAAATTAGCTGGGCATGGTGGCGGACGCCTGTAGTCCCAGCTACTCGGGAGGCTAAGGCAGGAAAATGGCGTGAACCCAGGAGGCGGAGCTTGCAGTGAGCCAAGATCACACCACTGCACTCCAGCCTGGGTGACAGAGCAAGACTCTGTCTCAAAAAAAAGATAGTATTGAGTTCCTGCTTGAGTGATAATTGACTCTATTCACTCAGCATTTCATTTCTGTAACAGAGTCAAATATCATCACTTTTACAAACTTTTGTGTAATGAAAGGAAAGGCAGCAAAAAATATTTTTAAAAACAGAATCTAATCGTTGCCCTTAACATTTGGTATATTCATTTATCATTATGTGATCTGATAATCTAAATGTCTTCCCTCTATGGATTCCTCTTGTATCTTACAAATAGATTTGTAAAATGAATTATTATTTGACTGATCTGTAGAAGTCTTTATTTAAAAACAGAAACTCTTGAGTTTGCCTTTAACATTCCCTCATGACTGGGGCATCAGTCCCTCTGAGCTTTCTTTTTCTGATCAATAAAATAGGGCTGATGATATATCTTCTTTTAGAGGGTTGTTGCATGTTCACTAAGATAATGTATGTGAAAGTGCCTAGATGATTATGAAGGACTGGCCAAAGGCTTGCTGGTTTCAGTCTTATTTAAAGTGCAGTGGTCTGGTCCTGAGCAGGGGTTCTGAGGAGTTTTGATGTTTGCATATTGCCATGTTGGAGCTGCTTCAAAACACTTGGGGAAGGAGTGTGTTGCAAAAATGGCAGAGAAAAGGGAACAAAACTGAGACATTTGAATACTTTGATACTAAGTAGTTTAGTACCAAATAATAATGTATTTATAGGTTGCTCCTGGGGTTATAGAGAGTCCTTTATTGAATGCCAGAAAGTTATCTCTTTCTTCAGTTTTGCTTTCTTATATGCTGATCCTAAAGAGACTCAATTATTAACCGCCTGGTTGGTTCAGTCTGTTATAATTCCCTGTGAGGGAGTGACTGTGCTGTAGTCAGGGCTGTTAGAGTCCCTCTAGGACTTTCTGGTGTAGACTATAACAAAATGTAGACATTTTGTTTTGCAATCAGTTTTATAAAAGTTAGGAATCAAATTTGTTCTGCAAAATTTGAATTTGTTTTGCAAAAGTTAGGAATTTGTTGGGACATTTTGTGGGAAATACTTTACTTTTGGTTCAGTAATTAACAGAAGCTCCTCAGGCATTTCAGAATGGAAAGCAAATAGAAATGGGTACTTTCTTTTTCCTATGCGTTGACCTTTTTCATTGTGTTTATTTTTAGGCATGCTTCTGACGGCCAATGAAACCCCCAAGATGGGCATCTATTACATTCCGGTAAGTAATACAAAGAGGCATTTCAGTAAAAATAGGACAAGCAAAGATACTTTTTATTATTTATTTAAGTTTTTGAGACGGAGTCTGGTGGTCACCAAGGCTGGGGTGCAGTGGCGCAACCTCAACCCACTGCAATGTCTGCTTCCTGGGTTCAAGTGATTCTCCTACCTCAACCTCCTGTAGCTGGGATTACAGGTGCACACTACCACACCCGGCTAATTTTTGTATTTTTAGTAGAGATGGGTTTTGCCATGTTGGCCAGGGTGGTCTTGAACTCCTGACCTCAAGTGATCCTCTTGCCTGGGCTTCCCAAAGTGCTGGGATTACAGGTGTGAGCCACCACTCCCGGCCAAAGATACTTTTTAAATCGGATGTATTGAGGAACCTGGGTCTGCATGTGGCTATGTACATTAGACACAGTGGACTCATTTGTGGGTTGAATTTGCTTTCTGGAGCTCATCAGTTCATGCTCAAATGTTCTTTTATGGAAACTGTTTAATATCATGTTAAAATAGACTTTAGAAATTAGTATTTATTCTTCTGATTTGCATTTATTTTTTGTTTCCAAGTATTTCTGAATCTTAAACTTTCAGCTGTTAGTGATCTAGAGGTCTAATTCTAAAAAGTCTATTACTCTTCAAGTCATCTCACTATAGTTTGTTTGTTTCTTTTAAAAATAAGTCACATGTAAAATAAATTATCATAGATCATCCTGATCAGGGATGACATGTAGTTTGCAAAAAAAAAAAAAAAAAAAACTATTTTTTCCCTCCTTAAATAATTCTTCTCTTAGATAACCAGAAGCTCCCCACCCTTCCCTTTAAGTTTATAGTAGAAATGAAACAAGGAAATATGATTTCATAAGCAGAAAAACACATAGTATAAAGTTGGCATTAGATTGCTTTATACTCAGCAGATATCTCCCTTACCTGAGATTTGAGAAGAGAGTTGAGTTAGGGGTACTGAAGATCGGAATTTGAGGGAGGTGAACTCTCTGTAACCACTGTCATCTTCCAGGTATGAAAATTCTTCCTGTCTATGATAGTCCTTTTAAAATTGCTCAGTTATGGATTAGGTGCGGTGGCTCACGCCTGTAATCCCAGCACTCTGGGAGGCCGAGGTGGGCGGATCACGAGGTCAGGAGATCGAGACCATCCTGGCTAACACGGTGAAACCCTGACTCTACTACAAATACAAAAAATGTGCTGGGCGTGGTGGCGGGCTCCTGTAGTCCCAGCTACTTGGGGGGCTGAGGCAGGAGAATGGCATGAACCCAGAAGGCGGAGCTTGCAGTGATCCGAGATTGCGCCACTGCACTCCAGCCTGGGCAACAGAGCAAGACTCCATCTCAAAAAAAAAAAAATTGCTCAGTTACGTATTTTCACACACAAAAAAAGCGTGCTGCTTGCTATTGACTCCGTGGTTACTGATGTGTAGTTGAAAGCACTTAGAGATACTTTGGTTGGTTGGTAGTAAAATGAAGGCTGTTCAAACAGGAAGCATTTTGGTTTTCCTAAGTTACTATTTGTTCCTTTTTCCCTGGACTCTCACAGATACTGCGGTCATATTCCTATCAACTTATCCATCTTTCCTTGTATTCACTTGTTAATACATATTATGGACTACATCAGCTGTGTGTCGGGAATGATGCTGTATGCTGGCAGTATTACAGCCTCCAGGGTACTGCCCTTCACTTTGAGGAGTTACTGTTTGGAATCCAACAAGAAAGTAGGCAGTTGCCTTTCAGTGTGAGGAATGCTACCAGGGTACTGTGGTGGGAGCACGTAGGAGAGAACCTGTACCCACTGAGGGCCCGGGAGCTGATGAGAAGTGTGGTTGGCACTCAGGGAAAACTTCCCAGAGGGACAGACTTTGAAGGAGGGACCTGAGGATAGCTGCATAGACTGGGTGAAGGGGTGGGGTGGAGTGAGGTGCCCAGTGGGAGAAGGATTTTTTTTTTTTCCCTTTTCAGTCAACTTTCCCAGGTCAGGCAGTAGACCTGGGATAGGATCTTGACAGTAGAGTGGGTGCAGAGTTGAGGGAGCAAGTACCTCCCATGACTGAGCATTCGAGTTGGGGGGCAGGTAGAAAACCAGGTTAGAAGGGGTCTTGTGAGCCAGCTGTGGGGATGTAGGGCAGGGAGTCCTGGCAGAGTTGTAAGCAGGGGGGTGATAGGATCAGACCTGTGTTCTGAAAAGATTACTTTTGCTGCCACAGGGGAATTCACTAAACAGGCTCTAATCTGGACACAACAAGCACAGGCTGTGGCAGCCCACAGGAGAGATGATGGCACCTGCATTACCTGTGCCAGGCTCCCTTTCTAGTAGTTGTGGCTCTTTGGGGTTCTGGGATAATGTGAGAGAAGTCTAATCTGGTAGGCAGTACTTGAACAGGATTCATCCTTGAATTGCCCAGTGGCATGTTTCAGAGGTGTTCATTGACTGAGAGCTGTATAGATCACAGGAAACGCTGCCCTCAGACCAGCTTACATAGTTTTCTCCCAGTTTCTGCCCCTTTGGGGAACGTTGTCAGGAGAGGCAGAATAAATCAGCTTGCCCCTGTCCTTTTCATCATGAGAAAGGTCTCTTTCATCTTCCTCTTAGAAGTGCTTATTGTGTTTTGATCACTACAGCAACATGGACAGCAAGTGCCTGTCCATGCCTTGGATCTTAGATCCCTTCCACATGTTAAAAGTAGATAGAATCAACTAGTGGGCAGGTGAAAAGCACTCTCAGTGTGGAGTGCTGCTTCGAGGTCTGCCTAGTAGAGGAGGAGGTATGGGCTGGAGAGCTGCATTGTAGAGAGGTGGGGAGGGGCAGTCCTGAGGACAGTTGCAGTGAGGCCACCTTACAAACCTATATGAGGATGGTGGCCATGGGGATAGAATTGGTTGTTGTGCTTATAAGAGATTTGAAATTGATGAGTGTGGGAAGTAAGGAACAGGAAAGGACCAAGGATGGCACCCCAGTTTTTGCTTGGGCAAATGTGTGGATGACAATGTCCAGAAAGAGGCAGGAGAATATTAAAAATTGTTTTCCCTTTGGTATTTTCTGCATTTTATAAAATGATCTTTTAAAGAAAGCAAAACAACTTTTTCGTTTATGCAAACAGTGTATGCATATTCCTGTTTATTCTAAGTGGATTACAAAGTATACGAAAATAAAAACCAGCTATTCCCTTTTGATAATACTGTAACTACCATTCATATTTGGATGTATTGTTTTTCAGTTATATTTGTGATGTTATGTGTGTGGAGTTGTATTTTTTTTTTTTAAGTTTTAATTTTGTTTTTTTTGAGACAGAGTTTTTGTTGCCCAGGCTGGAGTGTAGTGACACAATCTTGGCTCACTGCAGCCTCTGCCTCCCAGATTCAAGCAATTCTCCTGCCTCAGCCTCCTGAGTAGTTGGAATTACAGGCATGTGCCACCACGCCCAGCTAATTTTTTTTTTTTTTTTTTTTGTATTTTTAGTACGGGGTTTCACCATGTTGATCAAGCTGGTCTCAAACTCCTGACCTCATGTGATCCACCTGCCTTGGCCTCCTGAAGTGCTGGGATTATAGGCGTGAGCCACCGTACCTGGCCCTGATTTTTGTGTTTTTGGTAGAGACAGGGTTTCACCAGGCCAGACACTGGTCTTGAACTCCTAGCCTCAAGTGATCCACCTGCCTCGGCCTCCCAAAGTGCTGGGATTACAGGCATGAGCGCCGAAGTTGTATTTTATATACAAATTGGTTCCTGGTTTCTGCAGTTAACCTTGGAAATATTAATTCTAAGGTACTGAAATTACCTAAAACATTTTTAGTTATCTCTATTATATGTCATTGGCTGGTTTATGACATGTCTATTATCTTAGAACTGTAAGAGACCCATTGTTTACTTCTGATTCTCTGGATCAGTTTCTTCGGGTGGGCGTTTTTGTTCCAAGTAATGGTGACTTTAATTAGCATGAGTGTGAGGGGCCGGATGATGGCCAGGTGATGAGAAACTGCCTCTTGACAAATGTTAGCTTATCTTATAAGACCTTTTTAGTTTCAACTTTGTACCTGAGATTTAACAGAAAGCTGTGAAAAAAAATCCAGAGAGCCCTCTCCTAGGTGAGCTGCATATGGGGACAGTGTGAGCAGAAGTTGCTTTAGTTAAGCGAAGCCTTATGCTGAAACTTGGACTTCAGTGTTCCTTTCTGACCTACCTTTCTGCCCTGCTCCCACAGTACTGAGTGATATTTTATAGCACCACTTGTCTTTACTTGGAAACTGCTCTTTGTAATACTCCTTCAAAGCAAAGAGAGAGCCCAGGGGTCTGAAAGCCTGCCATTTTTCATAAGATTTTATCAAACTTACCAAGCTGACATTTGGCACAAAGGTTCATTTGAGGCTACAGAACCAGAGAAATGTGTGTTTAATGTATGATCCATGCCAAGTTTAGGAGGCCTGGACTGTGATTTGTATTAACATCTTATAAATCAGGTTCGAAAACTTTTTACCTCCCTCTTTGGGGCATGCTGAAGATGAAGGCAACTTAGTGTTCTTTTAGCTTGTTAATTTTTGCCTTTTTATCTGATACCATCTTTTTTGAGTAATTGAGATCTTTATAAACTAATGCAGTTCCTGATACACCACCTTCTGGCACTTAGATATCTCTGTAGCCAGCTTGTCCTTTGAGACCCAAAGGGTTGTCTCCAGCCCCTGTCCCATTTTCTCAGTGCTTTCCTTTTTTTTGTTGTTTTTCCTTTCACTCAGAGACCAGGTTCTGTTGTTTTGTTTGTTTGTTTGCTTCAGGGTCTAATTCATCTGCAGCTTCAGAGACAAATGCCAAGAATAGTTTTTCAAGCTTGGTTTTTCCTCTGAAACATAATTTAATCTCAGGTTAGTTCTTTATAATTAACATCCTTGGCAACTATGTAGACTCCAGAAGGAATCCAAGTCCCCTATGGCACACAACCCAAAACCCAGCCTTTGTGCTTAATGGTGTTTCTGTTGGAAATGCTCCTGAGCTCCG